AGAAACTGTGCCTGTGTCTCAGCTGAAATGTGACATGAAGCTAAGTACGAAGCAGCCAAATCCAGTTTAGACGATGCAGTCTTAGAACAACTCTGACCACAAGGACAGTGAAATATTGCAATAGTAGCAGGTTGCTAACTAATACAAATGATTGGAAGACTCCGTGTAAATGTTTGAATTCAGAAAATTATCAAGGAAGCAAAAAAGACCAAGAAATTAAGGTTAACACAAGCTGTCTTTTGTTCTTTTATAGAAATGTGTGGATGGAAACCATTAACAGCACTGCCTTGGACACTAGTAAAATTCCTGCAGAGTGTTTTATAAAGGCAATGAACTTGTATGTGCCTCACTGAACAGACCTGCTATTAAATCTTCCCTAAGAAATGGGATGAGATTGCTGGGGTGTTTTGTGAGCAGTGTGAGCTTTGCCCGTACATAGCCAGAAATTTTAATCACTGATCCCCAAATTATGATTTCCCTAAGTGAAATAAAATAGAAACCAATCCAGTACACACTCTACATCATCAATTTTTAATCTACCTCGTTTTAAAGATTTCTCTTGTTAGAAGTAGATTTGGGGGAAAGGAGTAAAGTAGAAATCTCAAATGACAAATATCCAGCCTTGACAACCCAATCACAAACAAATTAAATGTCCATCTCTGTCACAGCTGGCAACCCCAGCCTGGCCTGAGGGAAATCCTCCATGTTGTTTAGAGCAAATGTATTGGAGGTTAATCAAAATCTAATGAATCCCTTAGGCAAATAGCTCCTTAGTCCACATCTGTAAGAACTGTCCTAGTTTGGAGGAGGTATATACCAGTTGTTTTCTGGGATAACAATTGTTGTATAAATAAGAGAACTGGACACCCCCAGGAAAACATTTCAGCTATGTCTGTTATCCAAATCTACGTCTTCACCCACCAAAGTGTCAAGGTAATTCATCTGTTGATCTGTCTAACAATACATTTTATTACTGACATGTAGGGAGAGAAAAGACCAGAAGGAGGAAAGTTGTCAGGGCAAAGGGAAGAGGCAATTTTTGACTTCTAAACAAAGCTTGTCTGTAATTGTTTGGTCTGATCAACCCCTCCAGTTTATTTTGAATTTTCTAAAAGTACAAAAAAAAAAAAAAAGATGCTTATAAGGGTGAATTTGGAATATTAATTTAATCAGAGGAAAACAAGGGACATGAAAAGGGCAAGGAAATAAGAAAAAGGTACCAAGAAAGTTATCATCAGCAGTAATCATATTTGTCCTGAACCCTGGTTCGTTTCAGAACTGCTTACAGTGCTGAAAAACGAGCCCTTTCAATAAAAAAAAATAAAACCTGTAATAACTACATCAGACATTTTTCTTGGGCTTCCAAGATTCCAGTGCACATTATCTCTAAATCTCATTATTGCCTGGCAAGGAAGGGGTCATTATCCCCATTTTGTAGATGATGAAACTGAATTTCGGAGAGATTTGAACCTTGCCAAGCACAGAGCCGATAAGTAGCAAATAAAAATTCCTACCCACGGCTTGAGCTGTTTTTACCTCACCAAGATCAAATTCTCTCCTTTCTGCCCCTCTCTCTTTCTGGTCTTCTCAATGGTTTTCTCTCTCAGGGAAGTCCTATTGTTTATAGTTCCAAATCTAAAGCAAATTAAAAGCTGCCTCATACCAAAAGGCTACTCCAAAGCATGTAATCAGCAAGACAGGTAAAATCACTTGGTTCTATTATGTTGCAGATTATATAATTAGTCAAAGCAAAATGGGGCAAAGAAATGTGGGAGCAAACAGGTTTAGGGCTACACTTCCATTATGTATATTCAACCTTTGCACAAAGACTTATTGTTCCCGCCTTTCTTAGCAGATTCGAAAGTGCTGGGTTCCAATGCCATTTTAAGGTTTACAATCCCTGGAAGGGCACACATGAAAATAAGGCAGCAACCATATGGTTCCAGTTTCCTCCTCTGCCCCCACAAAGAAGCCTACTACACACCTCTAATTAAAGGATAAACATTCACACTAGAAACTGTAATTAAAGGATTTATGCACACCTAGGATCCTCTTGCCAACACACTCATTCATATTAGTATGTAAAAGTTTTATTTACTCCCATGCGAACTTACAATTGTAATGCGGTTTTATGGTCTATCCCAAAGGCATAACTTGAAGGGGCTGGAGACGCCTTTGAAAAAAGAAAAGAAAAAAAAAAAAAAAAAAAAAAAACCCGAAATCTAACTTTTGATTGAAATGATGACTTTTTTGCTGGGTGTGGTGGCTCACGCCTATAATCCCAGCACTTTGGGAGGCCAAGGTAGTCGGATCACCTGAGGTCAGCAGTTCGAGACCAGCCTGGTCAACATGGTGAAACCCTGTCTCTACTAAAAATACAAAAAAAAAAATTGGCCAGGCATGGTGGCACATGTCTGTAAACCCAGTTACTCAGGAGGCTGAGGCAGGAGAATCGCTTGAACCCAGGAGGCGGAGGTTGCAGTGAGTGGAGATGGCACCACTGCACTCCAGTGGGCAAAAGGGTGAGACTCCATCTCAGAAAAAAAAAAAAAAAGAAAAAAAAAAATGAAGAAATGATGACTTTTTAAAACTTTTTGAAATCTCTCTGAGAACTGTATTTAGTAATCTTGCTAGGAGCCATTTTGGCATCCACATACTAGCCCCCTTAGGGACAACATGTCATTTAGTGTCAAAATATTATGGGAGCAAGAGCCTAGGAGTTGGAGTCAGAAATGCAATAGCTTTGAATTCTGGCTTTGATTCTTTCTAGGTGCTGACTTGTGGTATATTTAAATTCCTTGAGTCTCAATTTCCTCATAGAGCAAGATCAATATATGTTTCACAGGGTAGTTGTGGGGATTGAATGAGGTAAAGTACATAAAGCCCAACAGAATACCTTGGCACATATCAGGGTGAAAAGCTGCTCTGTTCTATATTTCTTTCTCTAAATTCTAGTAACAGATTCATTCAGCCAGTGTTTCAACAAATGCTTTTTGTGCTTTTCGAGGTAAAAAGCACAAATCTAAGATTTTAGGCACTAAAAGGGGTAAGTTATTATCTTTTCTTATTCTTAAAGAACTTATAGATTAGTGGAGGACTTACTTATACATTACGTACAGGTATATAAAAAATTTTATCTTAGGCACAATGTGATAAGTAAAACTAATAATTAATATTTATTTAACTCTTTCATTATGCCAAATACTGTGATTTATACCATTTAGTTTAATGCCTATAACCTTAGTGCTATAGGTGGTATTAGTAAAGTTCTGTGAAAGCCCAGAGAAAGAAATTATTAATACCAAGAAAGGAAACTCTGAAGGCTCTTCTAGAGTATTCGTGATATTTAAATCAGGTTTTAAAAGATGAGCAGGATTTTAACAGCCTGAGATATTTAATTGCCTAGGAGGAAAAGGCCAGGCACAGTGCCTCACACCTATAATCACAACATTTTGGGAGGCTGAGGCAGGAGAATTGCTTGAGGCCAGGAGTTTGAGCCAGGCTGAGCAACATAGTGAGATCCCTATCATCTCTACCAAAAAATAAAAAAGAATTTTTTTTAATTAGCCAGGCATGGTGTCACATGCCTGTAATCCTAGTTACTTGGAAGACTGATAGCTGGAGCTCAAGAGTTGAGGTTACAGGCAGCTATGATAATACCACTGCACTCCAGCCTACATGACATAGTGAGACCCAGTTTCAAAAAAAAAAAAAAAAGAGAGAAGTGGAGGAAACAGAAACAGCAAATGTAAAGATCATGAAAGCATTCAGTTCAGTATTTCTAGAAAACACAAGTATCCCATAGTAGCCACTGGACTAGAAGATGAAGCTGTAAAGTTAGGATGGAGATAAATGGTAGAGACCACAGAGACCATGCTAAGGACTGGATAATTTCCCTATGAATTACCCAATCAGATCTATGTTTTAAGAAGACCATAGGAGTGAATGCAACAGATTAGAAAGAGGAATAACTGGATATAGAGAGTCCAATTCTGGGCCTGGAAATAAAAGTCCAACAAGTACATATGTTCACTACTATCTCTGCCAACGAGTTAAGGTAAATGCAGTTCTTTCCAGCGGCATCGGTCTATGTAGGGGAGAATAAGGATTCAACCTGAATTTGTGGCTGTCACTGTCTTCCAGGAAGATTGGACTCCTGACAGCCTGAACTGTGGATTGAAGGGGTCTTCACGTGGGAAATTCAACAGGCTAAGAAAAAGTTGTTTAATAAAATTTAGGAACCAGAGAGAAGATATAAGCCAAATCTAGGCCTCAGGAAGATTCATACAGGAATTTTTTTTTTAACATAACTGGGCCTTTTGTAGCTACACATCACACTCATAAAAATTCAATCACCAGTAATGCATCAACTCCAAAACAATGACTTGATAGCCTTTTTTCTTCTTTTTTGCAGTGGGTGGAAGGATAGTTTTTTGATTTTTGTTTTTGCGGGTGTTTTTTTTACATTTAATGTTCCTCAGCCTCTCAAGGAAAGGATGTTTATCCTCATCCTTGTTTCCTAAGCCCCTACACAGGACATGGAACATAGAGGATACTGCATAATTTAATAAATGTTTAATTATTTGATCAATTAATTCAAGTTAGAAGGCCATAATAGGCTAAACCAGACTTCAGCTGGTTCTAGTTATGTGGATCAATGTGAGAGCCACTTCTTTAGCATTTTAGACAAAGTGGCTCCATAAGGACCTTAGGTCCACTTCCAGGCCATCCTTGCATTTGTAAAAAGAAGGTTTCTAGGAGAAGGTTGTTTCCACTTCCCCCAAGCTCTGTAATATGTATAAGACCGCACAAAATGCAATAGAATTTTTTCCCTAAATAGGTATTTATTCTACTCTTCAGAACCTTGTAAGCATGGAGTATTAGCATTTTTGTGAATTGGTCTCCCCTGAACAGATAAATGCCTGATATATGCTAATATATATGATTTATGTATCTTTTTAGATAGACAAGCCTATACAAGAAGTCTAGAAGTTACAAACCTTCATTTTCTTCCTTGAGTCTTCTACCAGTCTGTAACTGAGTCCTCCTTGTCTGGTCTCTGTCTGTCTTCACCTTTTATTTATCCCTGCTCTTTCTGCAGTGTCTCAGCAATTTCTTGTTGGCCTTGGACATGGATTTTCAGCCAAACGGTTCCATCCAGTTTTCTCTCCAATGGAGCTGTGTATGACTTGTACAGCCCCAGGGTAACCGAGAAAATAAAGGAAAATGATCATTCCTTGTCTGACTCAAAATTAAATATGTAAAAGACAAATATTTCTTTTGTCTGGTTGCATATTCAAGCAGACTCTATTGATATGCTTACGGAGTTGTTCTGATTTCTTTATTTTTCCAAAGAATCTTTTCTGTCTTCTGTGATAGGTATGTGCCAGAACTCCAGAGAGTATGGTTAGAACCCTGACCCCCCAAAAAAAGAGGTGGAGGAGAAAATCCTGTCTTGATACAATGCCATAAAGATATAAAGTAGGAAAAATTTTAAAAATTAATTTTCATGACATTGAGATTTTTCATATTTAAAAATTATACATCTATTTAACAAATACTTCTTAATGACTCTACTATGAAGCTAACTTCAACCAGCTGGGACATAACATGAACAATGCTGACAGGCTGCAGTTGAAAACATGAGCCCCAACAAGCCTTAATTCCCATGAAAGAGTACAAATTATTACGAACATAATCCAGATGCAAAAAAGGGCTGGCAAACAGAGAACTTTGGATAAATTATGTTCCATTAAACATGCCATTACTTTTAATGCTGTACTTACTGGACACTTTGTAGACCTTTTTTTTTTTTTTTTTTTTTTGTTTGACAGAGGATGATTACAGAATTATCTTCATTTTTGAAAGAACAAAACTAGAAAAAATGAAGTTAAACTTCAACTTAAAAGATTAGCTCAAGCACAAAATTGTTTCATGGCCAAATTTGAGGGGTCTTGTTTAAGACTAAGATGAGGAGAGGGGCGACTCACAGAGAGAAAGGATTTCAGGTCTTACCAACATTTAAATCTTGTATAACACAAGTTGGGGATTAGTCACAAGAAACAACAGGAGGAAAGCAGTTCATTGGATACACCAGTCTTTTACACAGTTCATCCCCACTGATTAAAACACCTTTCCCACTTGGCAAACTACTGTTCAACTCTCAAAACCCAAATCAGTTGTCGCCTTCTCTAGGAGGCCTTCCCTACTCCCACCCCAGTTGAAGTTAATCCTGCCCTTCTCTGTATCATTCTCTACTGTGTACATAATTCTATTATTGTGCTTAATTATATTTATTTGTTCATATATCAGCTTCTCTACTCAAAATATTAATTCCTTGAAAGCAGGCCAGTATCTTATTGATCTTTGAAAAAGCAGAGTATCAGAAACAAAATAGGCACATTATTCACTTTATGCAACTAAAGAAGTAAGGACTAACTGTGCAAAATTGCTAAGCAGTTCTTGAAACGTATTTTGCACAGCCGAGAAGTCAAACAACATTCAGTCTTCAGCACCTTTGCCCTTCTTTGGCAATTTCTTTCACTCCCTTGATTTCAGCTGTTCTCATTATGATTACCAAATCTGCATTTTCATTCTTGAACTTTTGTCCAGATTCTAGATTCACTTTTGCTGCCTGCTGAACATTTCCACATGAAAAGCTCAAGAATACCTCAACTTTCAATATACCCAAAAAGAATTTATTAGTCCTCTGTCACAAATTTACCCTTCTTGCTGTGTTCTCTGTATTGGTTCATTGCTTCACCATCATCCCTGTATGACAAGTTAAGCACTTAGAATCAGCTTTTCTCCTCACTTTTGCATCCCCCACCCTATTCTCCCGTTGCCAAGTCCTTTCAGTCTGCCTATCTATAGTCTTTTGCTTACCTCTTCTCTTTTCCACTTGTACTGAATTAGTTCAAGCTCTCAATATATTTCTCCTGACCAATGTAATAAGCTGCTAAGAGGCTTCCTGCTTCAAGCCTTTTTAACACAACTCCCATTATGCTGCAAATTACTTCCCTAAAACAACATATTTATGTCAGTTTCCTGCTCAAAGACAACACTGATGGCTCTTCACTGGTGCAATTCCTCCTTCTGGCCTGCCAAGGCCTCTGAGAGAGCCCCATGATCTCCCATTTCCTATGCATCCGTCATTTTTTCATACTGCCCCACACAGTGCACACTCCATTCACACAGCCTCTAGACATACCTCTTTACCCCTCAAACACGCCCCCTGCTGCGCCATCCCCAACAACGTTGTTCTACCATACTGGGAAGGTCCTCCCCTCTCACACTTCTCTATTTCCCTATCAATGTTCTATTCATCCTCTAGGCGAGTGGCTCTAAACCTGTACTCCATAGACCCCCAAGGGTCCAGAGGTAAAATTAAGAGATTTGTGATTTGGATGGGAGAAAAATTACATTTCCATTTCCAATAATTCCTAACTGAAATGTAGTATTTCTTTTTACTGTGAATCTAGGCAACAAACAATAAAAATATTAGAAGTACATAAGACTTTGTGACAAATAGAAATCACAGATATATCCATATCACATTATAGTCATTACAGATATCTTGAATTATTACTTATGCTCATTACTACTTTAAAATCACAATAGTTATTACACCTGCAAATGAAATTTTTTATTTAATGCCTTAATAAAGAAGTGTACTTATTATTATATCACAATTTTTTTATATTTCAATAGCTATTTTGATACAGTTGGTTTCAATTATAATCCTTTCTCTTTCATTTTATACATTCCAAACATTATTTTGAGAACAGGTCATTAGACACAATAATGGTTAAGGATGACCGTCTAGGTTTATCCTAAACTCTACCACAAGATGTTTTCCCACACCTCACCCCTATCCCACACAGTATAAATTAGTATCTTCTTCTACCTGATTCCATCAACTAGTTGAAACTCCTCCTGAGGCTCTCAGGAGGCCTGCCTTCTGCCTGTCTTTTTTTTGTAGTTATTTATTAGTCATTTACTAGGCTTTGAGATCCTGGGGATAGGAACATTTATTTCCTGTTTTTAAGTAGCCCGTGGTGATTGTGTTCATGGTGGGTGATGAACCTGAGTTGTGCTGAACACATTTCTTTTTCAGGAAATGTTTTAGGTTGATGGAAATCAAATCAAGAAAATAAACATGTTGCTAACGTATTCTGGTGGGTGAAGCAAGTTTGTCAACTTATAACACAAACTGAACCGCTCTATTCTCCTACCTGATTTCTGTGTCTCAAAACAAGACAGGAAAAAAAAAGGCAAGGATGAAAAAGGTGACTGTAGAATTCTACCTTTGATAATCCAGACACATGGCATTGAATAATTTATTTAAATATATATATATATCTTTAGGTATATATGACTATATATACATATTCTGCCTATCAATGGTTTGGCATGGAGTGTGTAGTGTATACACAATATATTAAATATATATTATTTTATTTATAGTTCTATCACACAAGTAACAGTTTAAACAAGTTGGAAAGAACATGTGGAATACTGACCAATCAAAAAACATCCATGCTTCAGGGTCAACAAAGGTATTTTCGAAACAATGATTTTTATTATTACTTGCTATTGCATAACATAAGGTCTTTGTATGAGGATATAAAACAGTTCCTTCAATGAAGGTATTTGATGTTCATTGATACCCAAATCCATAATCTTAATGGTATGGTTTAAAGAAATAATGTAACATAACACATGCATGGAGTACTCATCTCTGAACAATTAACAGAGATTGATAAAAATCAACACCAGATAAACACCCTTTTGACAATGAGCCTCATTATATGACGCATAGGAGAAACAGAAGTTGTGAATGATAAAGACGATATAAAAGAAAATGCTGCAAGAGATTCAATTTAACACAAAGATGAATATTACAAATACACGTTTAACTGAATAATCAAATATTTAGTCATTCTTTTATATTATTCCCACTAAAAAACTAAGACATAACAAATGGCCCCAAAACCATCTGCTAGGAACATCCATTTGCATGCTAATTTTTTATAATTCATAGTTTGAAGTTATTTGTGCAAGCTTCCTATTCTCCTTCTTTAAATTTTGGCCATTTCTGTGTTCCCTGACTCATTCCTACTTCTTACAACAGGCAAAGGAATTACCAATATTGGTAGTAGTAATAATAATAATAATGTTCTGTAGCTTTTAATGTTTTGTCTACTAATATTTCATGTTAATTCTCATAAGAACACTCTAAGGAAAACAGGACAGGTATTGCACTAAATATATAGATAAAGGGACTAAAGCTCATGGAAGTTAAGTAATTTGCTCAAGTTCCCACAGCCTGTGAATAATGAATAACTGAGTCAAAACATGTATCCAGGCCTGATAAGTCTGAATGCAGTTCTCTTTCTGTTTCCATTCTACCCAAGGAAGAGTTAAAGATCATATAACTCCATCTGGGTGATTTCCGAATCTAATTTCAGCTCTTTACCAATCATTGTGGTTAAAGGAATGATTTACCACAGATATACAGTAGGCACTTGGTTATTTGTTCATTTAATTATGCAACAAATACTTTTTTTAGCACCTCACATTTGCAAAGCCTATAAAATCGATTGGCAGATCCAGTTGCCCGTAAGCACTTAGAGTATTTACATTACAAGGAAACAACTTAGCCTGGCATATTTTTAACTTTTCAGGATAGTTTTCAAAGGGGAGTCAACATGGACAACAACTTATTAGTCATTCTTGTACCCATCCTAATTGTTAAGAGGAGGAAGGTAAAGAAGGACACTGTGTGGAAAATGAAAGGCTGTCATAGTGAACACTGTAGTACATCACCCAGATACCACCTCACCCAAGGTCATTCTCCCTCCCCAGGAGCAACCTACATCCAACAACTAATGTACGCATGGGAGCAAAGTCCAAGCCTCATTGCGGAGCCAACAGTGCCCCGCTTATGCGTAGACCATCCCAGCCCCTGAACCCAAACTGACTGTCCAATCCTGTTTCCTCACTCTGTCATAGACATTAATCTCACGGGACAAGAAAGACAGTTCTCAAATGGGATTTTGAGCCAAATTGCCAACTGACCAGTTGTTGTTGATCTCCTCACTTATGGTAGATGGAGCATAAATGGCCCCTGACATGTGTCAGTGGTGCTATTGTTAAAATGTCCACCACTGGAGAACTGAAATGGTAATCAACTGAAAGAAAATGACT